ATTCACACCTGACAATTTTGACAGCACCTTTACATTACTATTAACACAGAGCCATCCCCTTCCATGTCATGTTATATAATATCTAAGGTCTGTTAGGTTATTTTGTCAACCAGGGGTGGAAAACCCCACAAATGCCATACATCATCCCTATCAGGAATTTGTTGAGATATCCCCATGGCCTGTAAGAATGCTCTTGGAAAAGAGAAGAAAGAAAGGGAGTACTGTACTTTTATAAAGCACTTTTGGCAAGTTTTGGAGTACTTACACATCCCTCAGTTACTCTTATTTATGAAAGTGAGGGTAGCCTGTGGACACATGAGCACCTCAAAAATTCCTAAAGATTGATCTGTGAAATTCTTTTTGAGGTGTCCTCCTTGGGAATATAGACCTCAAAATGGGCTATATTAGAGTTGTGCAGAGTGTTACAAATTTGCTTTTTGGTATGTTTATTTGCTACAAGACAAACTGCACATTTTGGCTAGGATAGCTTATTAGCTACACTATGTATCTTGTCTTCCAGTGTGAAGTACCATGTCAATCATATCTGCCCCATGGGTTCTCTTCATGGGTTGTCTGTGATTAACAAGGTATGGCTTGTTAAGGTAGCGAGTTTCAGAAAACATAAGAACCCACTTTCAACAACCCACAGTCAACCCATACTCAATCCTTGAGTGTATGTTATTATACTGTCTGAATTCAGCTGATACCTGGATATATTCTGTACCTCCTTCCACAATATAATATGACAATTCAGATATGAAAATAGAACACTGTATATCTGAAAGTGTTCCAACTGAAAAAAGAAGGAATTTAGCATGGATGAATAGGAACTGACTGTAGAGTCTCAAAACTAATAGGAAGGCAGGAAGTTGTGATATCTCAACTCAGACTATTTGTTCATCTGGCTCAGTATTGTCTACACCAGTGGTTTTCACATTTCCTGCTGGCCCGGGGAGTGGGGGCACATCCCGCTTACCATGGACCAGAGTGGAGACTGGTTGTGCTCCACCACCTCTATCTTGGCTGGCATTTTGTGTGTGTGTGTGTGGGGGGGGCACCAGTGTCACTAGAGGGGACAGGGAAGGCAAAGACAGCTTGGTGGGAGCCAGCTTGGAACCATGCTGCACTGACTTCAGTATTTTGTTCTTTGGTTGGCATTGTTTGTTGCTCAGTTTCTGGTTGTTTCGGAGGACTTTCATTCATTCATGCATTCATTCTTTCTTTCTTTTTTGGTATTGTCTTTGGAAGCTAAAACACAGAATACTGTATTATGTTTATGGTGCTTTTTGTTTCTGCCTCAGTGGTCCCTGAGGTGGTTTTCCTGTTTCTGCACATCTACAGCCGTGAAAAGATTGAAAACCACTGGTCTACATTGACTGGAAGCAATTCTCAGGGAAAGGGCTGGCCCAAGTCATTTTGCTGCCTGAGGTGAAGCAGCAAATGGTGCCTCCCTTCCCAAGTCAATTTTTTATGGTATCTAAGGCCTGTCAGGTTATTTTGGTACAGAACGTGGCAATCCCACAAATGTCATGGCCCATCCCTAGGAGTAAAAATAGAAATCTGATAAATTAAATGACTATCAACTTGCTGCCTTTTCATGACACTCAAAATGGTCTTTTCACAACTCGAGGTGGAGATCCTAGGGACTGAATGCATGCCAAGCATGTAGCTCAGCAGAAAAGCAGCCTAGGCTTGGTTCTGTCTCTGCACTGGTTCAACCACCCTGGCTGCTTAGCACTCAATTAAAACCTCTACACCAGACTTCCCCAATCTGACTTCCACTCCTATCAGTCCCAGCCCTCAAGGCAAATGGTCCAGAATGCTGAGAGTTGTCACGCAAAGCATCTGGAGGCAATCAGGTTGGGGAAGGCAGCTCCACAATGCAGAGGCAGATGATCCCTAAAGGAACTCTGCAGGGCCCTACCTCTCAGACATGATAGGCTGTGTCCAAAGTAAATTCTACTTAAGAGTTCATCCTCTGAGATGAATAGAACTTAAGTTAGACAAACACTGGATGCAATGCCATATCCACCATCAAACAGCGATAGCAACTAAAACAACTGTGCAGTTAGTTTCACAAAAGGAAAGAAAGAAGGAAAGAAAGTTCGAAAATGGCCAAGTTCATTTGATATCTGTCACTGGAAAAATCTAGCACTACATTTATTGAAAAAACATATGCTAACCAAGCAGAACAATTCGTTTCTCTTTAGAGTACTGCTCATTCCAAATCATTCCTAAAGACAGTTATGGAGATTTCCTTAACTGCATCTAATCTATTATTAAGAAGCTTGTTCTGACCATGGTAAGGACCATGGTAAATAAAGCCACAGTTTTGTGTGCATTCTCTGTAAGGACCAATATCTGATCTGACCTCACTTATATGCTGACAAGGGAAAACATTGTTTTAAATATGCTTTTTATATAAAGTAAACACTGACCAAGTTTGGCAGAAGAGCAAATATAAACCCTGCCTTAAGCAAGTCTGCTAATCCAATCAGCAAAGAACAAAATCTGAGAACAGAGTATAAATTCTGGTATCCTTGTTATATAGGCAGTGAGCTAGAAACAGTGAAGTATAGCAGTTCAATAAATTAACAGAGTAAAAGTATAATTAAGAGGAATCTACTGCTGTTCAGTACTTCCAAGCACACTGGAATATCATTTTCCTATTACAGACCACCCTTGCATAGCACGGACTACAACTGCCAATATTCCTCACTAGCCATGCTGGCTGGGGCTGATGAGACTTGGAAAACCAAAACATCTAGGGATCATTAAGTTAGGAAAGGCTGGTACAGCCTAAGTCAGTAAAAACTTTATGTACTTCTTCCCAAAAGTAATCTTGAATATCTGCCTTCTTACTGCAATACATGGGAACAGTCGACAGAAGAACACAGAACAGGTCTAGTTTCAATAGACTATCATGCTTCTCAATTACAGGCAGGTACAGAAACAGCCTTTCCCAACATGAGGTCCTCCAGATGTGCCAGTCTACAACCCCCATTCTGCCCAACCAACGGGCTCAGAGGTCCACCGGCTGGGGACAGCAGAAGTTATAATTGTTTTGTATATTTGTTTGTATAATTTTGTTTTGTCAATTTGTTTGTTTAATCTAAGGCAGTCTTGGAGAAGACTTCCTTACACATACAAACAAAAGGTACTTAGGAGGAAAACAAGAACTGGGGCAGAAAGAGAATATGCATTCAGACCAAATTAGTTTGAAAAGGCAGATAAAAATTGATCCTAAACTGATTTAAAAGAACATTAAGAGCTCACTTTGCAAAGTTTGCACTGGCCTTTCCAGATGAAATTGTTGCATATTACTTATTTGGAAAGACTTCAAGAAACAATTTCCTCTCTAGACCATTTATCCTGGCACTCTGTTACTCTAGTGTTTTAGACTTTTTCATGCATAATCTAGCCAAAGAAGCTGCTGTCTTCACCAAGGAGTTGAGCACTATGTGCAAGCACAGGAATGCAATAGTAGCTGATACATTTGGTACTGTGTCACCAGTTTACAACCAAAATGTGATGTTTTGTGTAGGCAGTGAATTCATGTTGAATTTAACCTTAAATTGTAAGAGTCCAATGATGCTCAAAATATATGGCATCAGTAAATATTTCTGATCCACCAGAAAGACAATTTCAGCTTGGAAGCACAAGCAATATATCCAATCCTAATCTGTGCCAGAAGAAGCACACACTTTCTCAGGATAATAATACAAAGAGAAACAAAAATACTAAACAGCTATAACCCTTTACCCAGTTCTGCTTAACTGAAAAGGATTTCCTTCTGAACAGACACTCATAATTGTAATCATCTAAGCAAAAAACAGTATTTCAGTATGAAAACAGAGCCTCATTTCTCCCTTGCTTAAAAATTATACTGAATCGTGTCAAAGCAAAATGATACACACAAACCACATTAACAACCAGGTGTTGCATTGTAAATTCTGGAGACAGAGAACTAGACTGCCACCTACAGGTGTATAGAGCATCTTCCCCCTCCACCACCCCCACACTTATATTTTCCCCTGGAGCTGAATACACAAAGTAAATGGAACATTAAAAGAAGTATTTTTTCAAGTACAATAGGATGCTCTGTTTCTTCTCTAAATGCCTTCCAACAATAGCTGCTTTTGCCAAACAAAAGACATGAACATTTCCCATAAATACCAACAGCACAACACTTATTCACACACATACATGTACATCACTGGAAGTCGCAGCTCCTAGTGAGTCACAGATGAACTGCTGCCACAAAAAAGCACTGTGTTTGAGTTGAAGTCACCTGTTAAGAATAACCTTTTGGTGGTGTTTGTTCTGTAATGGCTGCTTTGTGCAAACAAAGCAATGGCTTGATGTTTATTTATTTGATTTCTATCCCAACTTTTTTCTTACCAAGAACTCAAAGAGTGGCTCACATAATTATCCTCCTCCTCCTCTTTCTCTTATTCCCGCAACAACATCCCTGTGAGGTAGGGCGGGCTGCGAAGTGATGAACAGACATATGCAATCTTTGCACCCAGACTCAAGCATTTAGACTGAGCAGAACTAATTTCATGCCAATGCATTTACAGTGAAATGCTTATACATTTCTATTCAGAAATACACCCCATTATCGTCAATGGGACTCACTTCCTTGTAAGTGTATTTATGATCAGTCTTAGGCTACAATCCCGAATACACTTTCTGACAAGTAGGCCATGTTATAAACAATGGAATGGAATTTGCTTCTGATTAAACTGGGTTAGGGTTGCATCTCATGTGAAAGGACACCTTCAATGCCATTTACTGGTGTGAGATATAAATCACGTAAATACAACAAATTCATGGTATGGTAGAATTCAGTGTTTCCTTTGGTCCTGATTAGAACTACAGATCCAGCAGTATTATATATTTAAATAAAAGGAACCACATTATTCCACATCCTCATAAGCCATTTTGAAAAGATTAGCTAGCAGCCCAAACTTCAGTGGAAGAATCGTAAATCCATTTACCTGATACAATTGGCGCTAGTCTGAATATGTCTGATAACCTGCTGTTGACGGGTTCATAAGGTGACTCTTCAAGCAAGTCATTTCCTAAAGGCAAAAAATATATACATAGTTTTTTTTCTTTCATGCTTTATTACCTTCCAAAATCTTGGTACAGCTAGGAGGTCCAAGCCATCACGCTCAACAAATATGCAACTACTTTTTTTTCCAAAAGTTGATCACAGTCTCCTTCTGAGGCCTTCTCACCTAAGCTGAAAACCCTAAGTCTTCTGGGACCCTTCACATGTATATTATGGCTGCTACCATACCTTCAGGAGAAGCATCTTATAACTCCTCTTTGCAGCTGAAAGGGGTGAGAAGGGGATTCAAACTTCAAAGGTTCAACAGCATGCAGCTTGGTCACCCCATAATTAGAATAATGTGGGAAGGGATTTTTGCTCCATTTCCATATTGACTTTACTTATACTAAAGCAGATGCTATCAAAATCATGTTTCATTTATCATAATGGTGTTACAGAAGCTTTGGGAGAGGTGTTATCTTCTCAGAAAGTTCCCCTCCTGCTCCTCCAACATGGAATGAAAGATGTGAAAATATTGCCTGTACCCTGGCTTGATAAGCAACATGGGATGAATTATGAAAGAATTTCTCACACAAATTCACAGTTATGACTTCTTATATTTAGCTATAATAATTCCTTACTCAGGAAAAGGGTAACCAATGAAAGCTGTATCAGAACCTACATGCCTGAAAGTAAGTCCCACTGAACTTGGCTGGACTTGAACTGAACATACATAAGCATGTATGGAATTAAGCCATAAAAGCAACTGCTCTGTTTTAAAAGTGATACATTTAAACCTGAGGTGGGAGAACCCACTAAAGTATCATTTAGTGTGAAAGCTACAGCCAAGACTGGGCCTTAAATCCCCAATCAGACAAGAGTCTGATTCCTGTATAATATTAATCACCCTGTTTATTAAGGTTGTTTTGTGAAATTCATTTTCTGCTATCAAGCACACCATTCTTATCTGCTCCATGAATGTTAGACGAACTACAAATAAACTTTGGATCTAAATGTCTATGACTTGCACATACTTGAGACACATAACATGCACAGGTGGAAAGAACACTGCTTCTAAACATAAACCCAGGATAACGTTTAAGTTCAGTTAGGAAACAACTAATTCCAGTTTGGCACAGTGGGAGAGAAGTAACCCCCTGTGATCTTGTAAAGTTAGGTCATGTTAGCAAATGTTAATAATCCTTCTTGGGAAGGGAGGGGAGGGAAGCAAAGTACCTACAATTGTCTTGTAGATTTTGCACTTGCTAATTCCCTAATCTTTTGACTTCAGTTTACAAAGGTCAGCTGAGTCCCCCTGGAGGAAATCTTTTATTCTGCATTTCCCAACAACAGGAGACTGCAGCAGCAACAGCTGCGCTGGCTGGGTGGCAGGAAAGCAGGGAAGGTCCTTGGTTTGTGAGGAAGAACACAATGAGAATTAAGAGAACAGCTCAGTGTGGTTCTGAGGGGCAAAGGAAATCCCATGCTAATGTGGGGATGGGTGGAGGGGAGTGAAATGACTCTGTGCTTTGCAACGTACCCTGCAAGCTTTGGTACATGCTCCAGTAAATACGCAGGCAGTTTTTCTCCTTCTTCATGCCTCTCTTACAGCGGCAGTTGTAAAGAGATTTCTGCTTGAGCGCCTCCATGGCACTTTTGCACTCGTCCTTTGCCTCCAGGCCTGTCGCCCTACTGAAGTTGCTCTCTTTGCCGGCTACGCATTGCCTCAGTGTCCTGTATTTCGTGCTGCAGCTCTGCTCCCTGAGGCACTGGTCACTGGCTTTCACACAATCCAGACGGTCCCCTCCAAGCAGCCCGTTCACCTCTGCAGACAGCAGTACTTCTACGTTCAAAGAGAGGGTAAAAGAGATCCTGTCAGTTCCTTTGATGCTGTACAGAGAAGAGGTGTCAACCCAAGAGGAGAATGAGCAAGGGGAGAGAGTTTTACTCTTACTCTTTTTTCTTAAAGAGAGCAAAAGAATCTCTGAAAGCCAGCTCCCCACCATTAAATAGCCAATACTTCTCCGGACATTCCTACCAAAATAATGACCCAATAATGGACGATAATGCCTGGTTCTCTCCTCCAGGTTAAAGAGACAGCTCCTGCAGCCAAACAGTTTGGGAAGACAACTGACCTTTTGCTCCCAGGATCCTCTTCCTTAGGAATTCCCCCCAAAAGTATGCATTTCTGAACTGTAGTAAAGACTGAGTTCCTGATGCTTTAAGTTTCCAAATAACCACGGGGATTATTAACTTATATAGACTAAAGGGTCTATTTCCTCTTGTCCTGACCACATGCATTTCCCCTTCTTTCTCTGAGAACAGCAACAGTGGGTTAAAGACTCACACTCAGTTTTCACAAAGGCTGCGCTGTGATATTAACTACAGCCACGAACACCCAGATGAGAGAGAACTCTTCCTAGCAATTGACATGAATGATTAGCACTTCTGCCTCTGCTAAAATGTTATGCTTACCATTATTTTCTACAAGAAAGGTACCAATCAACAGCCACCCCCCACATACTATATTTCTCTCTATCTACATAGATGTCACTGCGGCAGCCAAAGCACATTCTGTCCCTATTTCTTCCTGATTTCCTTTCTTGATTATAAGAAAGCATACACTATCTCTATTGTTAAAACAATCCTGGTATGAAGTGCAAGGGAACCACAGTTTAAGAAAAAGGGGAAACCATCCATCTTATACATGAAGATGCCCACTTGCCTTCTTGTTAAGTCATTAAAGCTGAGATTATCAGAAAGTTTCCCTCCCAACTTGCTAAAACACAGCTTAAACAGGAAGACTGGATCTTCTGCAGTCTAACAGCACAGTCCTATGCGGGTCTATTCAGAAGTAAACCCCACCAAGCTCAATGGGACCAACTCCCAGGTAGCTGTGCATAGGATCACTGCCTAAATCTCTTAAGAGCTTTAGCTGACCACAAGGACCTGAGCCAAGCCAGAGATCTAAAAGCTACAGAAAACTGTTAAAAGAACAGGCTGGCAAATGGCACTCAGCACCTCTTGGATCTCACAAAGCCCATCACCCTGGGCTTGAGGGAGCCACACAGAGACAGATTTAATGGGATACTTACCCATTAAGGGCAAAGCGAAGTATAAGGTAGCCAGAAACATCTTGGTCTTGTATAGATCCTTCCCCCAAATGAGCTTGCGTGTGCCACTCCAGAAAGCGATCAGCACATAGATATTCCAAACCAGCCAGGTTCCAAAGCTTCCAAGTTCATATCCATTGAATTTCCCAGAAAATCCCCACCCCTAGCTCCTCTCTCTTCCTTCCGCCGGGAATAACAGCAAGAGCAGCTGCTCTGCAAAAAAGAAAAAAAAAGGGGGGGGGATCAGAGAGAAGAAGAAAAGGCGAAGATTTCTCACTCAGATCTTACACCCCTGCATCCTGGAAAAACTAAAGTGTGGATTTCTCAATGAGGGCTAGAGCACAAGGAAGAGAGGGCGACCAGTCTCGGGAAGCGTGTGAGTGTAGCGGAAAGCAAGCTGCCTGCCTTTGCGGATGGGGGAGCACTTTCCCCCCCAAGGAAGCACTCCGAGAAAGAAGCAAGAGGGAAGCGTGCAAATATCCAGACGTTTGTCCCCAGTACCGCTGCCACACGCACGATCGCTCCGCGGGGAGCGCGCAGGGAGAAGCCCGAGTTCGTGCTCCTTTACAGCCGCCTCCGGATCATCATGGTGCCTTCGGGCTAGCCCGATTGCCGCCCCCCTCCCGTCCCTTTCCTGGGGGGAGTTTACACCTCTCAAAGTCCACAGGCTTCCGAGCTGTGTTTCGAGTTAGCTTTGTCCGTCCTCATTCACTGGGGGGCAGGGGGTGCGATCGGGCAGAAGACGTCTGATGGAAGCTGGGGGGCGTGGGGGAGGAGAGAAGAGACCGAACCTGGTTAAACCCTCCGAGATTTTCTTTTGTATCGCTGCCGGGGCTTTCTTATGAGCTTACGTTGCCCCCTCTATTGGAGAATGAGGCGCACGCAGCGAGTCGAGCAGACGGAGCGGAGCGATGGATCCCGAGGATGGGGACGGCTCTCTCCGGCAGGTGCAGCCAGCCAGTCTGCCTGGTCGACCCCTCGTCTCCAGGCCAGGGGCTAAGCCGGTATCCTCTGTCCTCTTCCCCGGGAGTAAGTCCCACTGAACTCAAGAGGACTTAGCACTGAATAGACAGAGCAAGAAAGAGACAGACAGACGGACGGACAGAGGGTTTGCTTTGCTAGGAAGGCAAAGCTGGTTGGCACAAGCGTGCCTGTCCCCGTCCCCAAAGTTCTCCTTTGATTTGATTTCGACCATCTATATTGCGAACGGCGCTCTCGCCATCCAGATGATGCGACCCAGCAGGGGAATTTCTCCGCCAGTGGAAGTGGGAAAGATGTCGTACTGACCGAACTAAAGCAGATCCTTCGGAAAGGTCGCGTGGAATGAATAAGCGGGACCTATTTTCAATCAAGAACGGAGAGGGAACGACGCACCGTTTTAGAAACGAAGCTCGCCGGATCCCGCTTTGGAAAGTTGGTTGATGCTTGATTGGCTTGCTTCGCCGCCCGCCCGGTTTTCTAGGGCCCTACCAGCAGCGAGAGCTTTGCGGAAATGGGCCTCCCTCTTCTCCGCAGCTTCCCGATCGAGCCTCCCCTTCCCAGCTTGCTTGGGAAGAAACTTTAGGAGCCCCTCCCACCGCGTGCTCCCGGGCGCTACTTTTCGAGCGCATCGCGCTCCCAGGCGCTACTTTTCCAGTGCGTCGTCCGCCGTGTGCGGCAAAGAGCGAACGGGATCGGCGGAGCAAGCGAGAAGAGGCTGGGGAGACGGAGGGGCTCTTGATTCTTTACCTAAGGAGAAGCCTGCACTTAACGGAGCATCTTTCCTTTAAGCCCCGGACTATCCTGAGAAAATCACGACGTTTACCAAAATAATGGAATGTATTCCAACACTGCCTCTTTTCGAGGGTAAAATCTCCCCTCCTCCAGTGATCACCTAGTGCCATGCATTAACCGTTAAAAAAGAGCACTTTCATCCCTTTATTTTTAGGAATTTTATCCTATAAAATCACTGTGCTCTTTTCTTTCATCCAGTCGCAGCACACACCTCTTAAAAAAAAAAAGAAGCCATGGAAAATCGGCAGTGCAAGCTGTTACAGGAGCTTTCCCCACCCTGGTGCCCTCTGGATGTGCTAGACTACAACTCCCAGCATTCCCAGCCATCCCAACAATCCGGTCGGAGCAAGTTTTGAGAAATCCAGTTAAGGCGAAATCCAATTAATCCTATTCAGGCGTGGGGAAACTCACTTCTACCAGCCTTCCCCTGCACCAGTTTTTCAAAAAGTAAAGTGACTAGGGTAGCTACTCACCTATTGCCAAAAATTTATTTATTAAAATATGTATCACCAAAAGGCACATTGACATAATCTGATTTATATGGATAGGTGCAAATATAGAAATAATTATACTCTGATTCTGATACCATGTGAGGAAGACTACAAGTTGTGTGGCTTGCTCTGCCTGCTGCCAAGGCACCATGGATGGATCCCTCAAGGGTGATCATCTCTGCCTTTTGATGGCTCTTTATCCTTGTACTGGCTAGTCCTTGAAGCAAGGGACACTGTCAGCATAGGAAACAGTCCTCTGGCAGCAGTTCAGGTAGAGGCCACCTTCTGTAATAGAGGGCATTAGTTAGTATTTTCAGAAGCTGAACTAGTAGGTGCTATTTAATATTCTAAGCTGCAAGCCCAAATACACAAACTTCTAAGGAGTTAACCCCACAATGGAACTTTCTTCTCAGTAAATATCTGTAGGGTTTGACTGTAAGATGCCAGGAATGAAAAAGCCCTTTGGATGGCACTGCCAAATTTTACCTGTTGCATGTTTGGCTTCGATACATAAATATGCATGAAAAAATCTGTGAATGACAGATACCTTGCAATTTCACAAGGCTCAGTGATGTGTATGCAGGCATGCAGTTATGATATATATCCAGATACACAGCCATTTCAGTCAAATACTAGTTCAGTGTATCAGTTTACACTCAGCTTCTGAATAAACAAAGCAAACATATGTCACAATTCCATGACAGATGGTTCAAGCAGAGAGCTGTTAGTTGCTTTCACACAGTTGCTACTTATAGACAGATCCCCCTCAAAAGTTTTTAAAAATGGAAATTATGCTAGAATTAGTCTAGAATTTTGTAACAAAACTCAAGTCAGTTTCTCAATATTTGCAGGCATTTTGACATTTGTTCTTTTTTAATAGCATTTTGAGTGGGTAAAATTTCAGCATGCTTCAGCCTGCTTTATTCTAGCTGGGAGTCCTGCTTCTCTTAGGCAGGCCCCTGGCTGATTTCATCTATGAAGGCTGCTGCTACTTGGATTTTTTTATTAATACATTCCTCCTATTCACAGTATAAATTATTGGAATGGTTAACCTTTGAATATATTATTTTGAGATGTTTTGATTAGCCATTGTGTATGACTGTGTAATTGCATTATAACTTGCAACTAATAGAAACATTCTTTGGAGAGGCAATGTATTTTATTGTGGGGTTTTTTTTTTCTGATGAAGCTGTAAACTGTTGTGCACATCATTTTACCATGAAAAGAAGGCATACAAACATAAATATGCTTCAGCCTAAGGATACAGTCCACAACATTGCTATGCTGTACTGATTGAGGTCCCTCTGGTACCACTGCAAGTATCTGAATACCAGGAAATTCTAGATCTGCTGGGGATCAAAAGAGGTTGCATAGCCAGTGCATTGGCCAACCGTCTCTGATACTGCTTGAAAATTGTTGGAGCAACTGCAGCAGGTCCCAGCCAGGGACAGAAGCTGTTTTTCAACTATTCTACCAGTCCCGGCAGCGTTAGAAGGTGGCTGGTAAGCCATGTAGTATGTGGACTCTTTGGGCATAGGGATCATCAGTGGGGCACAAGGCTGTGGTGCACAGACAGAGGCCATAGACTCTGTTATTATCACCATCATCACATAGCATTATATATTATGGCTTTCCTCTCGCAAGGAGCCCAAGGCAGTTTACACAATCCTCCTCTGCTCCATTTTAACCACACAACAACAATCCTGTGAGGTAGTTTAGGCTAAGAGTAGAGCTGCCAGGATATTAAAGGCACCAGCAGGTATTCATATAACGCCAGTCCTCTATCGCTTACACTGGCTACCAATTGAAGTCTGGGCGCAATTTAAGGTGCTGGTGGTGACCTATAAAACCCTAAATGGCTTGGGTCCTGGATACTTGAAGGAGCACCTTCTCCCCTATGTGCCTTCCCTCCCCCTTGAGATCTGAGTCAGGGGCCCTTCTCCGGGAGCCGTCCTTGAAAGAGATCAAGAGAGTGACTACCCAGAGGAGGGCCATCTCTGCGGAGGCACCCCGATTGTGGAACACATTCCCCAGAGAGGTTTGCCTGGCACCATTTCTTCCCTTTCAGTGTTGGGCAAAACCCTTTTTATTCTCCCAATATTTTAATTCTTAATTTCCTTTAATTGGTGGTTTTATACTTGGTATTGGATGCTGTGCCACTTCTATTCTTATTTCTATTTTTATTCTATTTATTAATGGAGTTGTAAACCATCCAAGACATCTGTAATGGGACGGTATAGAAAAGTTTTAAATAAATAAGAGTGAGTGACTGGCCAAAAGTCACCCAGTGAGCTTCATGGCCAAGTGAGGGCAAGAACTCAGACCTCCCAGGTCCCCAGTCCGACCATCACACCAAATGCAGGGAGTGTTACATTCTGTATACTCTTATACTTGATATCAGATGATAAGGGAATATGGACAACTACTTGTGATCATGGATATTCATTATATTTCCATCTTCCTTAGAAGAGATAAGTGTAATATCAAAATATATGAGTGCTAGCATATCCCACTTTTATACAAGTGATATCATATACAAGCAATAGCATAGCCCACTTTTCCAGGACTCTATCCATTACACTACATTGGCTTAAGGTGCAATGAAAGCTTAAAATCCATTGAGTTCATAAATTCAAGCATGATTAATTTCTCTGGATTATGTCCATAGAATAATGTAGTATTTATAGCTAGTTAAATCCATAAACTTCAGATGGACTTACATCCTAATCTTAAAAGTATTATATAGATGGAACTTTCCCTCCATGTAGCATCAGTACAAAGATGTTACATGATACAGAATTCTATTTAAAGCAGTCTTTTAGCAGATAAATGTGTCCAT